GCCCCTGTGGCCCCAGCCACCCCCACCACAGGACGGGCCCGTTGGCCCTCGGTGCTGCTGCTCCCTGCCCGGACGCGCTCTGCACGTGCACGTGTCCGGGATGCTCGTCCGGCTCCTGCTTCCACACCTTGTGAGTGGGTAAAAATCATATGGAGAAATGCCTAGCCTTTATTTTTAAAAATATATGAACAGACACAAGCATATAATTAACTAATTCATTCACATATATATATATATACACACACACACACACACGTGTGTGTGTATGTGTGTATATGCATGAGTATATAGGTATATATAATGGGGGTGTGGCTATATATAAAAATATTTGTATCGGTGTAGGGGGATATATATGTGAAGTGTCTGTCTGTCTGTCTATGCGGGGAGCTCAGTTTGGGCCGTACTCATGCATATTTGGGCTGAGCGGCAGGGAAGCGCAGTGTCTGCCCGTGCCACCTTCACACGCCGCTGTAGCCTGTGAAGCCGGAGGCGGCCGGTGTAACATGTGCAGGGACCACCGGCAGGTTTTTTTTTCATTTCAATGCAACGGTGCAGGCTGAGGCGCGGCGATGATGGAGGGCGAGGTGGGTGCTAACACCGTCGGGGCGTCCCATGGGAAACGGCAGCCTCCAAGGAGGGGATTGCCTTCAGCACTGGCGAGCAGCCCAGCCGCTCGCTGCCTGAATATTAACCTCTGACAATATACGTATATACAATATACGTTCAATCAATCCAAACCTACAGCGAGGAAAATACACGTTAAAGGGCACAGCTGGAGCAGCCGCGGGGAGTGGGGGGCGGGCGGCACCTCAGCTCCCTCCCAGGCCAGGGAGGGGTGTCTGCACCTTCGCCCTGGGGAGGACGGTCACAGCGCCCGAGGCGGCAAAATCTGTGCAGAGACTGCCCTGGCTCGGCCACGGGCACCGCACGGGGCGTCTCTAACGCCCCTTCTGCTAATGCCACTGAGTAGTGAAGTTAATGGAAATTTCAGAAAGGCTAGAGATTATGTTTTGGTTTTTTTTTTTTTAATCCTGCCTTGACTAATCTCCCTCCCACCCTCCACCGCCGGTGCTTACAGGCCCCGTGCGAACGTCACAGCACCCGGCTGAGGCAGAGCGGGGTCCCCGGTGAAAGCGGGGAAGGTGGAGCCAGTGCAGTTAAAGTATCTTTTTTTTTCGGAAGCAAGAGCTTGGAGAGTGGAGAATAAAGCCAAGCAGCACCCGATCCTCTGGTTTAAAACCATCTTCTGCTCCCCGAGCCCTCGCCAGGACCCATCTCGCGTCTCTGGGTCACTCGGTGCTCCATCGGAGATGCGCTGCGACGTGCTGAGCTCGCGCACCCCCAGGACCGGGGTACCGACCTGGGGAGACTCAAAAGCTGCACTGCCGGCATCGACCTTTTTTCTTTTTTTTTTTCCCTTTTTATTTTGGGTTCTCGTTATAAATATTAACAAATCTGACAAAAAGTACACAGAGAGATAATACTGAAATACAAAAGTCTTTTAGGATGCAGGTAAGGACAGTTTCTGCAGCCTTCACATGGTAGCAAAACATCAGTATCAAACATTTCACGAGGCCTGGCATGACGACCACCACTCTGCATGCAGCTGGGACGGACGGACGGACCGTCCGCTTAGAAAAGACTGGGATACAAAGTGAAGGAACCCCCCACACACACACACATTATGTCCTACTCCACCTCAGGCATAAATCAGTTTTATGGCAAGATGTGCTGAAACAAATGATGGATTGAAAGTAACTTTGCAAGAAAAGGGAGGCACAGCCGACCCGGTGCTCCCGTAGCTCTCCTGGAAGCTCAGACCCAAACCAGGTTTTAAGGTGCTGGACCAGTGACAGACAGAGAGGATTACTGGGAACATCCGACTTGACAGGCTGCCGGCATTCAAATGAAATCCATGCATATCTGTAGAATGCATTACAAATATTTAGTTATTTAAAAAGCCCCTATGAACATTGTTGTTCCC